GAACTGGGCAGCCCGAGCACACAAATTTTAGGGTTTTCTATGTATTTAAAAGGTGGTTTCATGCTTTTGGGGTATTTTTCCATCCTCCTTCACGCCTAAAGCTTTTTGAGAGAAAACCAAGCCTCCCTTTCATCATTTTGAGCCACCTCTCTCTTCTCTCTCCTCCATTTTTGGAGTTCTTGGTGGATTTTGGTATGAAGCTCTTTCAAGATGGAGTTTTGGAGCCTTGCATAAGAAGATCTCAACTTCTAACTATCTTTTAGACCTTGGGTATGATTCCAGTTTCCACCTTTATGCATATAAGTTGCTAGATCTAGCCTCCTTTTCCCCTTTTCTCCATGTTTGTGAATTTTTGAGTGACAAAGTTCCATAAAGTTGTTAACTTTATGGATCCTTAGGGACCCTTTTAGGTTGTATGTTCTAGTTCTATGTCCTTTTGATGATTTTGGATCTCTAGTGCAAGTTTGGGTCCATTTCTTCTTTGATTATGGCCTAGAGTGAAAGGGGAATGCATTGGGCATGCATATCCATAAAGCACCGATTTTTATGTTGTATTTAGAGTAGGAAAGCCACTGGGAAAGTACGAATGAATGGATAGAGTGATTAAGGACTTAATGCAATTAGGAAGTCAGATCAGTTCTCATGACGTGAAGGGTTGGCCTTCACAACGTAATGGAAGGCTAGGTGTCCCGAAAAATTTGTTTGAGGATTCTCATCACGTGACAGAAGCTCTATCATGACGTGACTATCGATTTGAGGATGATCGAGTTGAATCGGGACTGAGCTACTGATCGAGTTGGACTCACTTTCTCACGACGTGACCAAGGATTGGTCACGACGTGAGGGTCAGTCAATGGGAGATCTGGTTGTTGACTTTGACCGTTAACTGTTGACCAAGGTTGATTTTTGGTCAATGTAGATGTTTTAGGGTGTAGACTGATTAGGTACTTCTTTATTGGTATTTAGGTGTATTTTAGTACCAGTCTTCACCATGTGAGAGCTGTTGTGTTTTAGTTGCTAACTGCGATGTGAGTCTTCTCACTATACTTGCTTGTGTGGTAGTATATGCTTGTTGACTAGCTGGGTCTTATTTTGTTGATTTTTGTTATGTGTGAATCGAGTTGTTGATAACTCCTAGACTCGTGTGAATCAGGGACTGCTGATAGTCCCCAGGGTTGTTGATAACCCACGAGGTGTCTTATTAAACCATATGGCGTGCTGTTAGCCTACTGGGACCACTGAAAGTCCCCAACGTAGTTGATAACCCATGGCTGTTTATTATGTTGTGATGTATGTGATATTTTTGGGAACTCACTAAGCTTTGTGCCTATAGTTGTGAATTAAATATTTTACAGGTACTTTTTGGATTGCAAAGGTGAGACTGTACATATACATCAACAAATATATGATTTGAGATTCCACATTGTCTTCCTTTTAACTATAATTTTTGAATAATGGATTATGAACAAACGGGTTCCTCTGGATGTAATTTTGTTAAAATGGATGTTTTATTTACTCTAAAAATGAGAATTTTAGCCATGTGTTTTTGGTTGTTATATATATATAGATATATATATATATATAGATATATATATATATATATATATATAGATATATATATATATACACACACATATATATTTATACACACATATACACATACACACACACACACATATATATATATATATATATATATATATATATATATATATATATATATATATATAGGGAGGGGTTGAATAGAGAACCAATATGAGTGGAGGAACCAAGGAACCTATTAAGATGGTTGGATCAAAAAATTGACAGCCATTGGATTTGAGATGTAAAAGTATGAAAAACAATAGTGTCCAGCTGATTATAACCAAACACGTAACTTAAGGGGGCATTTTCGTTAACCTAAAACTTATTAACTCTCACTGTTAATTAACGACGTTAGTTCATCAGTTTCACATATCAGTGAAATCGATTTTACCCTCTCATTGAAAGCGATCTTTTACTTCACCGACGAACATCGATTTCTAACGAATCTCCGGCGACGATTCAGCCAATATCCACAGTGAATCTTCCCGAAAAGTTTGTCAAAATGAATCTAAAAGGTATATTTGACTGCTATTCATTTCCGATTATCTCATTTAATGCCTTTTCAACATTATATTTTTTCGATTGATAAATTTCAAAACGACAAATCTAAACTATCTGTTACATTATGTATTCGATGAATCTGTGAATACACTATTTTATTAACAAAATCGTTTTAGACTGATTTGAAACCCTCAGATGATGAACTTTTAATAATTTGTATACATAACGAAAACCTAATGATTTAAATTTCTTGAAATCGATACAGAAATCATGAATATCTATATTACAAACTGAAATTTCCTAAAACTTTGTGAATCTAACTCGAATATGAGTTTATTAAGTAAATCGAAACCCTAATTTCATGAATTTTTGAGAATTTGTATAATTACCAAAAACCTAATGATATAAATTTCTTCAAATCGATACAGAAATCATGAATGTCTAAATTACAAACCGTAATTTCCTAAAAACTTTATGAATCTAAGTGGTTTCTGAGTTTATTCATTAAACTCAAAAACTAATTTCATATTTTGAATTCACCGTGTGCTTTGCGATTTACATTTGATTATTTTGAAAGGATTCAATGTTTCTGAGTATTACATTATTTGACAATTCACAAAGTGAATCATGATTATATATCAATTTAACATATCATTTATTCAAATTGTGAATTCAGAGGGTGATTTATCATTTACATTTGATTTTTTTATCTTGTGAAATTTTATGATGCATCTATGTTTAATTGATATTGTATCTCTTAATGTGTTTCTCATTGTAAATTTATAAAGAGTTGCATTGATAATGTTTTGATTCAAACTGAATTCACAATGTGAATAAATATTATGTTAAATTCATTTGTAATCCTGATTCACATTGTGAAAAATATGAATAAATCATAACTTTCATACCATGAAATTGATGTTTGAACTAATTTGTTAATCAAAAACAGGAAATGAAGAAAAGAACAATGAAAAAAAGGATAATAAGAAAAGAATGAAATTGACAAGAAATCTAAAAGATGTTCTACCTTCAACTACAAGTGAAAAAATTGAAGATATTCAAGATAAAAATAAAGGTTAGAACATTCGCATTCAGATTAAAATAACTAGTTATCTAATCATATACTACACACTTATTAAAAAAAAATTTGCAAGTTGATCAACACTTTTGTTTGTATTCACTATGAACAAAATAGTTGTAAAAATTCTCAATATGTGTATGTGTACATCACTTGGTGAACCTCAAACTCTCTTGTTGTTAAATGCATAAATTCACAATGTGAATCTTGGATGTATGTCTCACATTCACATAGATTCACAATGTGAATCTCTTAAAAAAAATATTTTTTTTGCAAGTTGATCAACACTTTTGTTTGTATTCACTATGAACAAAATAGTTGTAAAAATTCACCATGTGTATATGTACATCACTTGGTGAACATCAAACTCTTTTGCTGTTAAATGCATAAATTCACAATGTGAATCTTGGATCCATGTCTCACATTCACACAGATTCACAATGTGAATCCTTTTTTTTTTTTTTTTGCAAGTTGATCAACGCTTTTGTTTGTATTCACTATGAACAAAATAGTTGTAAAAATTCTCAATATGTGTATGTGTACATCACTTGGTGAACCTCAAACTCTTTTGCTGTTAAATGCATAAATTCACAATGTGAATCTTGGATGTATGTCTCACATTCACATAGATTCACAATGTGAATCTCTTATTTTTTTTTTTTTTTTTGCAAGTTGATCAACACTTTTGTTTGTATTCACTATGAACAAAATACTTGTAAAAATTCACCATGTGTATGTGTACATCACTTGGTGAACCTCAAACTCTTTTGCTGTTTAATGCATAAATTCACAATGTGAATCTTGGATCCATGTCTCACATTCACACAGATTCACAATGTGAATCTCTTTAAAAAAAATTATTTTTTTGCAAGTTGATCAACGCTTTTGTTTGTATTTACTATGAATAAAATAGTTGTAAAAATTCTCAATATGTATGTGTACATCACTTGGTGAACCTCAAACTCTTTTGATGTTAAATGCATAAATTCACAATATGAATCTTGGATCTATGTCTCACATTCACACAGATTCACAATGTGAATCTCTTAAATTTTTTTTCTTTTTTTTTTTGCAATTTGATCAACACTTTTGTTTGTATTCACTATGAACAAAATAGTTGTAAAAATTCTCAATATGTGTATGTGTACATTACTTGGTGAACCTCAAACTCTTTTGCTATTAAATGCATAAATTCACAATGTGAATCTTGGATGTATGTCTCACATTCACACAGATTCACAATGTGAATCTCTTAAAAAAAAAAAATTTGCAAGTTGATCAACACTTTTGTTTGTATTCACTATGAATAAAATAGTTGTAAAAATTCACCATGTGTATGTGTACATCACTTGGTGAACCTCAAACTGTTTTGTTGTTAAATGCATAAATTCACAATGTGAATTTCTAAAAAGTTAATTCTTATTAATTTTGTTAAAACATGAACAGAAATCAGACAGAGTCCAAGACTTAAAATGATTGAATACAAAAAATCTGTGACTCCTATTAAAGTTGATGATAGCCTTGTAAAGAAAGAATCAGATGAAAAAGTAACAGGTTTGTTTATTACTATTCACATGTTTAATTTACAAAGTTATAAACAAATTCACATGTTTATTTTATGTATTATATTATATTTTGCAAAACAAATTCACATGTGAATTTCTTGTATTGTTAGTTATTTTATAGTATATATGTTATATTATGAGAAGCTTATGAAAATTATTGACTAACAGGAAAAAGAAAAAGAAAAAGAAAAACAAAGACTTTCGAAGTAGTCAAAGAAAAAAAGGAAAAAGTGCCAATAAATCCAAATGACAGAGTATCTTTGAGAACAAGAATGAGCCCAAAGAAGTTTTATGATTTTTTTAAATCTTTAAACAAAGAACAGAAAAAAGCTGTTAGAGAAATGGGATTGGGATCTTTGCTGAGAATTGCAACCAATGGAATTTCTGGGAAATTGGCACGTTTTGTTGTGAATTCATTCAATCCATTAGATATGAAAATCCATCTACCTAATGCGAAGATAGACATAACACCAGAACTTGTTCATGATTTGCTTCGAATTCCTCTAGGTGGAAAAGATATATATAACATTGATCAATGTGAAGGAAAAGAATTAATGGATTGGAAGCAACAGTACAATTTCAAGGCTATGAGACCATCAGATGTTGAAGAGAGAATTAAAGAATCATCAGATTTTAGGGATTATTTTCAGAACAAACTTTTTATTACTGTTTGTTAATACCATCTGTGAACAGAATAAGCCTGGAACTTGTAAGACAACAGTATTGCCACATTTGTTAGGCAAAACACCTATGAGAGAAATTGACTGGTGTGGTTTTATAACTAATTGCTTGAAAATGTCAAAGATGACGTGGGATGAAACCGATAGAGGAAACTACTATTGTGGGCCACTTCTTGTATTATTGGTAAGGAAAATTCTTATAATTAACACTTTTATTTATATTATTATAAGAAAACTAATTAATCATAATTTTGTTTACATAAACAGTTAGCTTATTTGGAGTTTATGAAGAATGATGAGAATGAAAAAAGACAAATACATGCACTACATTTTTGGGATTATGAAATGATGGTGAAAAGGGAAAAAGCTGAGTTAAAGAGTGGTGACTTTGGAACTTTGGAATGGAATGATGATGTTATAGAGAATGATGAAGAATCCGACACCGATGAAAATGAAGATATGAAACTCGATGTAAGTTAATAATCTATATATTTAAAAAAAATTGAAGTTATATTACAGATATATGTTATAAAATTGTAGTTAAGATGAAATGCATAAAGTGGTTCACATTGTGAATATAAAAGTGTATTTTATTACTTTCTCTATAATAAATTCACAAAGTGAATATGTAATTTATTAAAATGCATTAAAAATGTGATACATCATCAATGCATTCATATTCTGGAACTATAATTTATTATAGAAGAAAGTTAAAAAAATTCATTTTTATTGACATTTTTTATCTCATTTCGCAGGAATTGGTATTCAAAGCGAAAAAGAATTACAAAAAACTAGTGAATGATAAACTGAAGTTTGGAAAGTTAATTGAGTTTTCAACAACAAAATTCACAGAAAGCGATGAGTTGAAAGATATGAAGAAAGTCTTTGAACAAGAATTCATTTATAAAACTCAAAATGAAGATGAAGAAAAAAGCGATGAGAATTTGAATGAACATGAAATAAAGAATCAACCAATCATGGTAACACCAGGAAATTTGTACAATGATCCAATAGTGCATGAGATTGCTGATTCTATTCAATGTATTTTAAATTTTGATGATTATGATGATTTTGAAAATGTAAAAAGTTTTAGAGAACAAAAAAAATAAAAAAACAATAATAGATGATAAAAAAAATAAAAAAAAATACTAGAAAATCATCAATGCCTAGTTTTTGACTTGGACTTGGTCTTGGTCTAACACAAGAGTTTCAGGATGGAGATGAAAGCAGTGAAGATCAACACATGAAGAAAGAAATAAAAAATGAAAAACTTGATGAAGGAGAAAGTTATGATTCAGAAGAAACAGAATGTGACAATAATATCTTGGGAATTGAAGATGATGAAGACAAAAAAAGAGAAGTAGGAAAAAGATTAAAAAAACCATCATTGAAGCTATCTTCTCCTTATAATAAAAAAGAGGTTTGTGCATCAAAACTTGTAGATCCAAATGAAGTAAAAGTATCAGATAGAATTTTTTCCAGAATTGGTAATAGTAGGTAATAATTCATGTTATCTTTTATTTAAATACAATAGTATATAAATACAAATACAAATTAATTTTCTATTAACTGCTTTTTTTTATTTGATTACAAATTAAGTGAGAATGTATTTCAGACTAAGAGAGGTTATGTGCTTGGAAGAGGAATGATTGAAACAATGCAGGCAGGATTATGGGTACATGCACATGTCATTGATGCTTGGACTGATATTTTGAACTATAAAGAAAAGCTTAAATCAAATTCTACAGTGAATCGGTATTTCTTTGATACATCAATGGTGGTAAGTTAATGTTGATAATATAATAAATAAAATTTTCAATAGTTCTGAATAAGTAACAAAATAGTTGTAAAAATTCACCATGTGTATGTGTACATCACTTGGTGAACCTCAAACTCTTTTGCTGTTAAATGCATAAATTCACAATGCGAATCTTGGATCCATGTCTCACATTCACACAGATTCACAATGTGAATCTCTTTAAAAAAAAATTTGCAAGTTGATCAACACTTTTGTTTGTATTCACTATGAACAAAATAGTTGTAAAAATTCTCAATATGTGTATGTGTACATCACTTGGTGAACCTCAAACTCTTTTGCTGTTAAATGCATAAATTCACAATATGAATCTTGGATCTATGTCTCACAATCACACAGATTCACAATGTGAATCTCTTAAATTTATTTTTTGCAAGTTGATCAACACTTTTGTTTGTATTCACTATGAACAAAATAGTTGTAAAAATTCTCAATATGTGTATGTGTACATCACTTGGTGAACCTCAAACTCTTTTGCTGTTAAATGCATAAATTCACAATGTGAATCTTGGACGTATGTCTCACATTCACACAGATTCACAATGTGAATCTCTTAATTTTTTTTTTCAGAAAATAAAATTCACACGGTGAATCCCATTATAATTCACAGTGTGAATAATTTAAATTTTAAAATTTACCTTATTGTGAATTTAACAATTTACTCTTTAAAATTTGATGTATATTTAATTTTTTTTTTGCAGAGACAGTTCATATTTGACAAATATATCCCTTTTAATGAAAGATTTGATAAATTTGAGTCAAACATCAAAGATGCAATGAAAAAGGACAAAGAACTTCTGACATTTGAATAAGTCCACTTGGTAATAAACTGTTCTTTTTGTTGAATATATTACATATTTTAAACAAAGTTTAACAATTTATATTATTAAACAGGTGTTTTTCCCAGTTCATCAAAAAAATCACTTTTACATCATCTGCATAAACTTAGAGGAACTAGCGGTTGATGTCATTGATAATAGGAATTCAGTTGCAAAGTTTCCTAGAGCTTATCGTGATGCACCTAATGAATTGGTAAGAATAATAAATTTACATTATAAATATAAGTATTAATATACTAATAATCTAAATAAAATAATAATTATAGAAAATGACAATTTCTTTTTTGTAGAAAATACTTTTTAGTAGGTACTTGATGAGGGTCAATCACAAATCAACTTCAACTTTGGAGGGTGTTGAACCAGAAAGGGTGAACATGAATTGGCGCACGAGGGATAATCATGTTGACTGTGGAGTTTTTTCCATGCGTCATATGGAGACATATATGGGAGATAAAACAGTAAATTGGACATGTGGGTTGCCAAAAGAATCAAAACAACAACAAAGTGTGTTAAACGAGTTACGCATTAAGTATTTGACAAAGATACTATTGAGTGACACAAACACATACAGGTCAAAAATCATTGCACAAACAGCTAAGTTTGCAAAAAAGACTAATGAAGAAATAAAAGATTTGCTCAACAAGGGATGGGAAAAAAGGGGAGAAAGGATATAGTACTTCAAGGATTGGAAAAAGAAGTGTAAAACTTAAAACTTAGTTTTCTATTCATAATTAGTATAAGTTTAGATGCACTTTAATTTCTTTAAGAACATATACATGCTTGTTATGTTACAATTTGATGTTAGTTTCTATATCAAATATAATGAACTTTACTAAATACTTAAAAGATGTTTATATTTTCATGTGAATGTCTACATGTATGTTATACAATTACATGTTTTATTAAAAATATGAAAATTTACATTGTTTATATGTTAACCTTGTGAAAATTTAATATGTCAGATTCACAATGTGAATTACAGTACATATTATAACATGTATATTTTATATGTGAGGTTAACAATGTGAATTATGGTACATATAGATCATTAGAACAATTAATTGTTGAGATTCACAATGTGAATTAAATTACATTAAGACAATCTTTAACATGAAAATTTTATATATGAGATTAACAATAATATACATAAATTAAATCATTAGCATGAAATTTTTATTAGAAAATATTGAAAAAACTAACAATAGAAAAATATCTTTAACCAAAAACACTAAATTTGAAAAAATTATATTCTATTATTAGAAATAAAGTCTAAAACAATGAATATCAAAATTAACAATAATATTTCAACATTTCTAACCATTGAATGATCATTACAAAAATCAAATCTTATTTTAGTAGTCTTAAAAAGAAAAAATTAGAAACAATCAGCCTTCTATAACCTCAGATTCTAAATCAGACTTCTTTAACCTCAAAATGCAACTCCTAGCATTGTGATTTGGTTTATGACATAAACTGCACAACCTAGAACCCCATTAGATTTCTCAATCACTTTCTCTCTAGTGCTCTTGATTCTTTTACCACTGGCCCATCCCTTGTTTCTAATCCCCTCTGGATTATGAATGTTGATAACATCTGGTACTGCAGCTCCAATAATTTTTTCAATGTGAAGTGATCTATTCGAAGATGCCCTTGATGAGGTACATAAAGGAATACCACTATCAACCTCCTGAAGTTGCTTTATATATTTAGCCAACTCATCCTCATTATTTGCTATCTTGTTAATGGACAAACGAAGAATAAACATACGCATCTTGAATCAAACATTCATTTTTACTGCCTTTATGAGGATATGAGTACTTTTTTCTCAACAATCCATCAGCTATGATATCTTTTCCCCATCTCCTCAAAATGAAATTTGATGGAATTTCATCATACTCTTTCATATTTAATATGAAAAACATATGACGACATAACAATCCTTCCTGGACAAAAAGCATGCAGCTACAACTGATGCTAATGCTATCACCCCTTCTACTAAATACAACCTACAAAAATTATCATTAATAAACAAATTAATATGTGAATAAGAAATTCTATCTCATACGATTCGATAAAATTATACAAATTAACATCGATTCACATTATTAATCAACAGGACATTAGAAATCATAATACTATAATATAAATATGTACTTCAAATCAAATTCACAAAAAAAAAATACATATTCCATACTAATCTAAAAACTTATAACTCTATAAAAATTCACACTGTGAATTAGCAAAACATCCTACATTCACAGTGTAAATTTTTAAACTACATTTTATATTTAATAAAATGTATTAAGACAAATAGACATACCTTGTAACGAGTATTAGGACAATGAGAAGGAAGACTATTTTGATAAAAATCATCAGAATCTTCATCCTCATTCACATTTTTATCAATCAACTTTTTTTTCTTCTTATCTCTCAAAACATAAACTTCGCTTTCATCTTCAATAACTACAGATTCTTGAACACAATAAAACACAGATTTGTATAACTCTTTCTGAATGTCCAAGAAAATATTATGTGTATAAATTTTGATGCATGCTTTTCAATAGCCAAAGGAGTCCTTAGCTTGGGGGTAGTAGTTGTGGACTGATAATCTAATAAAGATTGATGATGCCTTTGCTTCTCCATTGCACTATTAAACGACATCATGAACTTCACCAAATTTGATTTATGATGCAAAAAATGTGAGAAAGCATAATTTAGACTCTTTGATCTTGAAGTAGTTCGCATCAAACCAGAAAGTTCAAGATCTCTCATAAAAGCCGGAATCCATAAATCCCTTATTTTAAAAACAGACCTTAACCAGTCATTTTCTTTTAGATGAAACTTATCTAACATTGTTGACCACGAACTTTCAAAATCTTGTGGAGAACATTGAAGATTCCATATAATATCAAAAAATTGTCTTCTGGAAGTCCGGATGGTTATAAACATCAATAGGAATCTAAAAAAAAGAAACACATAAGAATCATTACATATGTTGAATATTTGATGTAATTCATAGTAACATAACATTTGTTTAACATTATGAATTCACAGTGTGATTTATGATTTAGATTTGTTCCTTTCATTATATGCAAATTTACATTGTGAATTCACAATGTGCTTTATGATCTATATGGTTATAAACATATATAGGAATCAAGAAACAAAGAATATACCTTTTCCTCAAGTTTTTGAGTGATGTGCCACATGCATAGTCTATGGTTCGATTCAGGAAAAACAAAATTAACAGCTTTCTTCATTGATGAATCCTGATCTGTTACAATCATCATGGGTGGCTTGACAAATGCTTTACGAAACACTTCAAGCAACCACACATATGCATCTGCTGTCTCACGAGCTAGTAAACCAGCAGCAAAAGTAACACAACGCTTGTGGTAGTCAACTCCAGTAAAAAGAACAAATACCATAGAATACCTAATTTTTTTATAAGTATTATTAAAAAGAACAAATACCATAAAAAGAACAAATAAGGATTAGGAATTACTTGTTTGTCTGATAAGTAGCATCAAAAGATACTACATCTCCAAATTCCTTATAGTTAGCTTTCGAAGTATCATCAGCCCAAAAAAGTCCAGTAAGATGATCATCAACATCTTTTTGGACCTCAAATGAAAAATTAGAGAAACACAATTTTCTGTTTGTCAATATATCCACAACCATTTGGGAATCTTTGACACCAATTTTAGAATTCAAATCTCTATGAAAATTTTTAAAGTCAACTGCAGTACCTCCACTAGAATCAAAGCCACCCTTCATACTACTCACCAAGTTATAAGCTTTTGAAGCACCAATGTTACAAGTACCAACCTTATGTATAAAGGATTCATCAAGAAAATCCATTGTCCTATTAATCCTTAATAAGTGCAACTGATCTTGAGCAACAAGTTCATGGTTGTGATCTTCAACAAACACATAAATGTAGAACATTAAAGAACATCAGAGATTCTTGAACTTTGAAACAGCAAGGCATCCGTTCTTCTTAGAAGAAGTTCTCCTTCCCTTAACATCTGAAAATTTCACATTAATATTTTCATTCTTGAATGACTCCGTGAAACCAGATCTACTACATGTCGAATATCTAATACGAATTGTGCCATCATTGTATCTTTTTTGACTTGACATATTCACATCAAAACCAGATTCTTTACCATAAGTCTTGTAAAAGTCAAGACCAATGTCCAACGAATCAAACATCAATCCTTTGAAAGGCTTCTTATGTATCAACTTATCATAAGGAACAAGCTTAAAAGTTTCAGTATTGTAGAGCTCAAAATCAAAACTATAACAAGAATTACTGTTATTTGAATGATCAATATTCATACTTGAAGATGATTGATCATGAACTGCAAAACCAAACAAAACATCTATTTTATTACATTATATATAAAATGTGAAATTTATATTAAGAAAAAAAAAACTTACGTGATTGTTCATTAATAGTTGAATGCAAATCTGAACAAGAATTCACAGAACTCATAATGAATCGTCGATGACCTGGAGTTTATATGCAGATTAGAAATTTAGAATTGATAATTATACAAAAAGGAAACAAATAAACAAGATAATCACAAAATTTTAAATATATGCACAAGATAAGATAAGATTCTCAAAATCACTAAAAGTTTGGAAAAAACTTAAATGTCAGAAGATGCACAAGATATAATTGATTATCTAAATGTCGAATATGCATTACAGACGAATGATTACAAAAACGATCGAATGAAAAACAGTATACTCAACATACGACATAAAATTAGCAAATTAACAATAAAAACATAACAATTTGAAAATTAAACGGTAAAATCAAGAGAATTTTACAATCAGACGATTACAATAACAATGCATCGGAAGAAAAACGGTAAAATCAAAGTCCATAATTGACCTAATAATCATAAACGAAAGATAATACATGATTATTAGCTGAAATCTGAAGAAAGTATTAGTAAATTGGATGAAAAAGGTTGAGATTTCGAACAACAAGCGAGATTTTGGATCGATCAGTGTAGTGTTAGAAGATGAAGGACGGTAACAGAAGACGCTGAAATCAGAAGACTCTAACGGAGACAAACAAGATGTTAAATGAGACGCTGAACTTACCAAAATGCCCCTCCGTGTTTTTTTTGGTTAATTATGGATTAATGGCCAAGATTAAAACAAAATAGATGGTTAAGATGGGTTCCTTGGTTCTTTAATTCATATTGGTTCTCTATTGAACTTTTCCATATATATATTATATATATATATATATATAATATATATATATATATATATATATATATAATATATATAT